GGGGTGCATTCTAACAGATTCAAGTTGGAAGGCAGATTGTGCAAGTTGTGCAGTCAGGACCACTGCAAAAGTAAATCCCCTTCTGCAGCTGCTTTATTTGCTGTGGGACACCAATGGCTGTTCAGGAAAAGCAACTCAGCCAAAATAAAAAAAGGCACTTCAATATTTGGAGGTTTCATCCTTGGAAGGAAGAGTTTGCTTCTTGGCTTCTTTACCTTCCAAGCTGTTTCCTGACCTTTCCAGCCTGAGGGAGAGGATCTGTAGGGAAATTCTGGGGGATGAATGTTCAGTGGTTGTACCACATGTATGTCTGTGAATGTTTTCATGGCAGCAAGGTGTGGGAATTATTTCAGGCTATGTGAAAAACACCAATCACTTGTTTTTAAAATTTTAAAAGTTTAATAGTAATAAAATGGTTATAAAAATAGTAATACAATTAGAGTAATAATAATTTGGACAATTTTAATTATGACAATATGAGACAATAGAAACAAAGGGTTATGGACACCTGAGTACCTTTCTCTGGGCAGCACAAGCCTGAAAAAGGACACCCGTTAACAGAGGATTAACCCTTAAAAGCAACAGCCTGTTGCATATTCATACACCTCATACATGATGCATAAATTCCATTCAAATACAGGATTCTGTCTGGTCATCATCAAATTCTTCCTCTGAATCCTAACAAGAAGTTCATTTCTTCTGATAAGAGAGCAATAAATTCTCTTTCTCTGAAAGATTCACGTGTCCTGTGGCTGCTGTCTCGCTGCAAGTCCTTTCTTTAAAAGCAGTATCCTACATAGCATAGTTTCCATTTTAACAATTTTTATAACCTAAAACTATATTTAACACAGTACTTAAGAGCATTAATACAGCATTACTTTCTAACACAACACATATAATATTCATTTTAACATTTGCTAAAAGCCAATCATAAAATACATGCATTTTTCACAGGCTACAAGGAGACAAAGCCTTGACTTGACATTATGGAGGGAAGGAACCTCAAATGAGAATGCAGTGAGTGCCATTGACCCCAAAAAGGATCAGATTTTCCCTTCCCATTCTTGGCAGATTGTTGACTAATACTTTCTTTAAAACTTGCAGGAATGGGAACATTGCAAATTCTACAGGCAGCCTCTGTGGGCTCTCCCCTAACGTTCAACTGCAACCTCTCTTGGTGCAGTTGAAACCCATTTTGGGGTTATATATTTAGGTTATATTTATTATCTCTTATCCCCAGTGGAAAAGGGGAGTAGTTCCCAGTAATTTTTACATATTTGGCTGTAAAAGCTTTCCTTATACTGCCCTGACTATATAAATCAATATTTTTCAAAACTGGACCCACTGTTCCAGCTGCAGCCTTACCTGTGTGAGTGCACTTGAATGATTATTCCACACTTCTTCCACAGAACATACTAACCAATACACCAGGAAATGCTTGAGCACTTTTATCAGCAAGTTGCTGTTGTCTCACATTCAGCTCATTTTGACTCCACATTCTCTTCTGTCTTGTGAGTCATCTGCTCTATTGTAATTGGCAAGTTAATTGTTTCCCTCACACAAAATGCTTTTTGCTTGCCAAATTGAGTTGCATCCTGCTATTTTAGACTCTCCAAATTGTGAAAATTGTTTTGAACACTAATCCTCTTCTTCCTGTACTTGCAATGGCTCCCAACTTTGTGTCATCTGAAAGGCTTGATAACTTCTCCTTGCCTTCTGGCTTTCAGGAAATATTGAATGATTCTAGAAGCAGAACAAACCCCATGAACCACGTCATCCATCTCTGCACTTGACAGTGGGCCATTGATAACTGTTCTGAATACAATCTTTCAGCAGGCATCTACCTGCCTTACATTAGTTTATGGTAATTCTCCTGCTTTTGAACTGCTCCTGTTTGGCACATCTCCTCCTCATCCATCACTGCATGCTGAAAGTGATTATGATTTTATTCTCCATTTGTTTCTGGGTTGAACTGAAGCAGAGCAGGTTGAATGCTCAGCGAGTTAATGTTCTGTGTGCTGGGTGTGTGTTGGTGTTTGGTAAGCCTGGATTGTGTTCTAAAAAAAACAGATGGTTCCAGTGCTTCCTGCAAGCCTGGCCTGAGGACTGGGGAATAAAGCAAAAGAACAAATAAATATCCTTGAGATTCTCCATGCAGAACTCTGTATTTGCCTTGATCATGATAGATGAGGATGGAGCTTTTTGGTGTTTATAAATTCCTGTTGCTGACCTCAGTTCTATAGATTCTGGATATAGTGGTAACAATCAGTCTGTGTAATTTGGATGGATTTGGTTCTTTAAAACCTGCAGTTCTTTTTATAGTCATTTAAACAGTAAACTACTTTTTAGCCTTTTATTGTGCTTGAAATGGAAACTTGACTTTGACTCAGCTTCTGGCAGGTGGTTTATGGTCTGTGACAGTGGATATGTATAAAACTGTTGAAGCAACAGCTTGTGTTAGTACCTTTATACAGAAAAAAAAAACCAACAAACTTTTTATGCCTTAAAAGTCAAAATTTTTATTTTTATTTTGGCACTTCTAGAGGTATTCAATCTGCCTGATGTATTTCAAACCATAGGCAAGGGCTAAACTGTTCAATACATCAAGAGACAAATTAAAATACCTGTCTGAGAAAAACCATCAATTTAGTGAAATAATTGACTTTTCTCAGTGGAAACTGCAGAATACAAAATATGGCATCTCATATAACTCATCTGTAGACTAGAGTTAACTATGTAAATTAGGTTAAAAAACCCAAACAAACATAGAAACTCTGCCTAAAAAAATAATGGAGATAAAGTACAGTATGCTTAATGCAAGCCCTATTGAAATAAGGGTTCATTGATATTTGGATCTGCTGTATTAGTGAAAAAAATGAATGTGGACCAAATTCTGATAGCCTAGCTTTGCATTAGAATGCATTTTATGAGTCATTTCACTTATAACAATAGACTTATTTGCAGAATGCATCATTATTATTCATCAGTAGTAACCCAGTCAGTCCAAACCAGCCACAACTGTCAGATGCTTTTAGAATTAAGCATCATTTACTTTCCTTATCCAGCCTGCCATGGAGGAAATGACCCTACTCTTTCACTGACTGTATTTTGCACCTATCAAATCTGATAAATGGGGTTTGTTGCTCCCCTGCTTTCACTCAGAAAACTTAACACAAGCATTTTCTTCAGTGTGTGGCAGAATAATGTGGGCTCCCTCCTGAGGCACTTTCACCTGCTGGGCCATTGGCCTTGAGGCTCCAAACCCTTCTTACTGTGGGCTTTTTATTGCCTGTGCTGGAGCAAAAACTCATTAATTGAGAGTTTCCCTGTGCCTCTGCTCATGTTGCTGTGCCACCTGCTGCAGGTGACCCTTCCTTGGCAGAGGGGCTGGACCTGCTGATCTCCACAGGTCCCTTCCACCCCCAGCCCTCCCGTGGCTCTAAATTCCTTGGGAATAAGAGATTTCTCTGCCTTGGCTGCTGCAGAGGTTCCATTTCCCTGCAGAATTATAAAATATGTGAGGCAACAACCAAAAATATTGCATGGAAAAAAAAATTACAGGAGTGTAGGTTCCAAGCCTGCTCTCATGTTATATTTGGTGTTTTATGGAGGAAGTGAATTGCTTTTTTATAAATGCCTTACACCTCATTGCTCTAAGTGTGGTCCCCAGCCATGAAAAGAAGGTCTGATCATGTTCTTAGTATTAGATTGTTAAAGATAAATGGATATTTCATAAATATTAGCATGTTCTTTATTATTTGTAAATGTTAGAATTTACTAAAAGGCATCTCTACTAATGCAAAAAGACTGTTTCTTTATTCTACATGAATAGGTAATCTCAGCATTTCAGCCAGTGCCATTTCTAAAAAGCTTGGTTAGTAGAACCTGTGCCAGACAAAAGAGTAAGAGGTGGATGAAACCTCCACAGCTATTCCAGTCCCAACAAAGAAAAGAAAACTAAAACAAAGATTTGTTGAGTTACTGTCAGTGTCTGCAAGAAAACATTATTTTTTAAAATGGAATTAAAAAAAAATTTAACAAAAAAGCCATTTTTCAATGGCAGATTTTGAATTGTTTTCCCCAGTTTTAGTGGGGCTTTTTAGTCTGTTATGATCTTATGGTTATGGTGGACTTTACTAAACTGCAATGCACACTATTTAAATTTACCTTTAAAAATTTAGTATTACACTTTCAATACATAGTGTGAATATATCAGCACATTACAGGTGGAAAGAAAAAATTGTTATTTCTTCTACTACATGTCCATGAAATCTCTAGGAGTTTACAGTGGATCTGACCCCAGAATTAACCAAACTCTCCATTGTTGATATTTCTTTCAGCCCACTGACATTTTATATTTTGCTATACAGCAGATCATTGAATTTCTGTAGATTTAAAAGCATCTAACCAGATAAAGTAGGTGATGGCAGCTTGCTGAGATCATTGTTCCACAGGTGACCCCCCTTGAGCAGTGAGTGGGGTTTGGCTTTCTCCTGTTCAATTTTAGGCACTCAGTTTAAGACTTAAGAGAAGAACTGTGGTCTGCAATACACACAGGAGCAGATTAAATAATGGGTTTGGGTTTTAATTATTTTAAACAATGTGAGCAAATGTGGTTAAGAGTGTTCACAGAGTCAGCTTTCTATGGGATTGTTTTCTATTTGGGAATTCTGTGGGGTAAAGATGGATTTCTGTGGGAGGTAGAGCAGAATCCAAGAAGTTTGTCAGGAATAAAATGAAAAAGAAATATGTATCACAGCTATGATTAATTCTTGGGGTTTGAACCACAGTTTCAGTGCACTTCTAATTAAATCAAGGTTACTGACCTCTAATACAATTTTTTCAAAATCTCAAATTTTTTTTCATCCTTTGTATTGTGAGGCAACCTAACTAGACCTTTGACATTTTTTGTATACCAATATTTGCATATATCCATAAAAACAGCTGCAAACTGAATTTTGTGTCTGTACCTGATTGTTTCCTCCCCCCCATTATTGTAGCTATAATTAAAACAGCTCTTCCCAACATGGACAGAGAAGCCAAAGAAGAATATTTTGTGGTCATCCAAGCAAAGGACATGGGAGGACATATGGGTGGACTCTCTGGAACTACAACAGTGACCATTACCCTCAGTGATGTGAATGACAATCCTCCTAAGTTTGCACAGAGTAAGTGCCATTGTATGTGTGTGTGCTCCTGTTTAAAAAGCTATGGTGTTTTTATTTATTTTTTTTTTAATTCAAGTATTTTTAAATCTTCATATTTTTAATGTCAGTTAAAAGATGCAGCTGTGACTACATCACAGCTGTGAGAAAGGTTAATCATCCTCTACCTGATTAAGAGCTTAGGAAAAAGAAAGTAATGTCCACACCAGTGTTCAGATCTCTGCCTTCCTGGTTACCCCTCTTACACCCGCCCAAAAGGGCCTGGACACTGCTGAAAACATATTTATTTGGACATTGCTGAAAACATATTTATTTCCTGTCAGTGCAGTTGTTTCTGTGTGCTTTGCTGCTTCCATCTCATGCAGACAAGTGACACCACCAATAAAAGACACATATAACAGATAAAAGGAATAAAAGCCTTGACTAATTAGGCAATACTGAAGAAAACAAAGAAGATAAGTCTGAATCTAGATAATTGTTGATCTTTAATTCAAAATCCATATTTTCTACTGTGGTTCCAATGGGTATCTTGCTGAGTTAGGTTAAAATGATTTGGCATCCTGCTGAGATTCTCTGCAAGCTTTGTAGTCTGTTTCCAAGATGAAGACAAAAAAGAAAAAAAAAGAGGAAGAAAAGCATAACGACTGGATTGATTTTATTTAGAGCTGGTGCAACCTAATACACTATTAGAAACAGCATTTTATCCAGCTTGTTCTGGAAAATTTAAGTTAAAATTTTTTGAGGCTGCATCCAGATTTTGCATCATTTTTGTTTTCCTAGAAGCATGTTTTTCTAACAAGGTGCTCAGGGACCAGTGTAAAGGTAATTTTTTTCCATCTATGGATGACTTCAAATCCGCTTTTGCCCTGTTCTGAGGACACAGAGTAAAATGGGTTTGTCCTACTGCTCAGCATTTGATAAATCTGCTTCTGTAGCCTGTAGAAAATGTACATAGAGAGAGAGAGAGAGAAATCTAATACAAATAAGCAGAGGCAAAAGCTTATTTTCAAAATATGTATTTTATTACCTCATCTTAGTGGTTTTTAACAGATAAGCACTCTGCACAATAAAAGGTTTTCTCTCATAAAGCAGGAAATGCATAAATTTTTGACTCTGTGTCCCGTTGCACTGCCTTTCCCTGTGTTAGTGTTTTCCAAGAATTTCCCTAACAATGCCATGCCCACAGCTGAACTCTATCACCAGCCTGCAGAGGGATGTCTCTTTTATACCTGCAGTGTCCTGTGGCTCCACTCAGGGAGCACAGACCTGCCTTTGCCAGCTTACCTGGCTTTTACATTGTACAGCACTGCCTCAGGAAGCCAACAGGGCAAAAATCTGACCCAAAATCAGCAGCACAGCTGGTCCGAACTGGGCAGCCCAGGGGCACAGCATGTGGGGGTGAAACTGCCCTTTCCCAGGGCTTTTGGGCACAGTGCATCCCTATCCCTGGAATACATTTGCTCCTGGATGAGTTTTCTTGCAGCATCGAGGAAGGTGCTGCCTCTGAAGCTGTTACAGCCCCTGCAGGATTTGAGCTTCCCCCTAGGAATAACCACTGACCATTATGCAAATTCGTAAGGGAAAAAAACTTAAGGGAAAAAAAACCCTGCTTGTTTTATCACTGGGTTATTTTATTTTTTTATATATATATATATGTGTGTGTGTGTGTGTATGTATGTGTGTATATATATATATGTGTATATGTATATATATGTATATGTGTATATACGTGTGTCTATCTATATATATGTATATATGTGTATATATATGTATTATATAATGTATATATATATGTATTTTATATGTCTATATATATGTATATATTATTTTATATGGTCATTTTATTTATATTTTACTGGTTGTTTTATATATATTTTATATATATATACTGGGTTATTTTATATATATGTATTATATATATGTATATATATGTAATATATATGTGTGTATATATGTATTTTATATATGAACATATATGTATTATATATGTCTATATATATGTGTATGTATGTATTTTAAGTAATATATAACTAATAATAATTTTATAGAGACAGAATTTGATTAGAACAAGGTTTTTATTTTAAAGAGCATAAGTATTTTAGGACTATAAATCTAAATATTGAAACATATAATAATTATATAATAACAATTGAAACGTATAATAAATACATAATAAATATATATCCATATATATTTATTATATAAATAACATATAATATTATATGTTATTGTGTAATTATTGCTGGGTATTATGTATTTATTGCTTTAATAATGAGCCAGAGTAACATTGGATCTGGGTGTTATTGCAAATTCTTCCTTTTAAAAGGTGCCCAGCACCACAGATTAGCCACGACTCTGCCCTTGGACAAGAGCTGAGCAAATCTGACTTTATTTTTTTTTTTACACTGTTGAAGCACAGTTTGCATTTGCCTGGAAAGGAAAATAAGAAAGGATCAAACTTACAATAAGCCCAGCCAGAATGAAATAGAAATTCATAAGATGTAATACATGCTGCTTGCACAATAAATGGTAATGAGCTCGGGAAACAGGGTGTTCTATCAGGTTATTGTTTCCAGGCAGGACAGAAATGTATATTTATGGTTTGATTTCAGAGAGTTAGCCTCCTGGGTTTTAGAAATGAAAAAGATGAACTTTCACTACTTCTGTGATCTCTCTGAAATAATTTTAGAGGCGTTTTATAAGTCACTGAAGTTTTTAACCTGGCAGTTTACCACAGAATTGTAATGAGAGGAACTGTGCTCTGCTGTGGAAACCCAGGGCTTTCAAAGATGCCCAGTGTGGATATTTTGGTCAGCTCAGCACTACGACACAATTCATAATTCTGGAGAGGAATTTGTGTAAAAGAGTAAGCTGCATCATAGCTTTTAAATTTTTCTTAATATTTTGTAAACTGTTTTAATAAATCTGAGAGCAAAATTTCAACTTAATAATGCAATCAGCTGTGCCTGGAGATTCAAACCACAAAGTGTGGACAGCAGAGTAAATGATGAATGCATAATTTAATCTCCCAAGACACTTGATTGCTTTGGCTGCTCATTGTTTTTGAGCCATTATGGATATTCTGAGCAGTCTTGATGATCTCCAAATTATCTCTAATAATTTAGCCTAGGAACATTAAAAACAAGTCACCTTGGGATTTAATTGTGCAGCTAATACATGTATTTGTGAATTCCTCAGTTTCCTTCGTATTTTCAACTGTTGCTGCTGCAATAACCTACAACAGGTAAAGCAACAACTCCAGCACATTCTTTTTGGAAAATTATTACCTGCTTTTAACAGATTGTGTTAGAACAACAGGGAAGACAGGGAAAAACAGGGCCAGAATCCTGTGTCAAAATTATTTTAATGGTCTCTTCTATTATCCTTGAATTCTTTGCTTATTTTAACTCCTGAGCAGCATTTTGTTTGATTAGCTCCTATATTAATCTTAACTTCAATAAGAGTCAATTATAAAGAGGTAGAATCATGAGGACTCCAGAAGGAATGTTGGGTATAAAATGTGTGTCTTGTTTTTAGAGTACTGTTAGGAGCAGGGAGATGCAAAAGAAAATAGATATTTTGGGTTTTGCCTTGAGAAATTCTACCTAAAATAATATATCTAAGTAGATTTTTTGATCCTTTTTAGCTTATAAGATTTGAAGCAGGTGTAACAGAAAACAAAATATTGACAATTTGAATAGTAATTTCTAATGGATTTTAGTGTAACTCTGCAAAAAGTAGTAAACACAGTAATGATTACTATGAAAAGTTATTGTTTCCAGTAAAAAAAAAAAAAAATTGAATGTTCCTTGAATGTTTCCTGATTCATTTCTTACCCCAAAAGAGAGGTGGAAGTGTTCAAACAAACAAAATGAAACTACATTTTAAAAAGTAGTAAATATTTAAAGTTATGTAGAACATATTTGAAGTTATGTAAATATTTACACAATAGATTTTTAAAGAATTAGACCAATTTTTTTGTGGATTAAAAGCCAAAGTTTCTTGGTCGAATTGAACTCCTTGTCAATAAAATATCTGTATAAAAAGGTAAGTTCTGCAGTGTTGAAAGGAGCTCAATATTTGTGTTTGCCAACACAAAACATCCCTGCAAGGCAGAAGGGGGAGATTGCTGGCATGGAAAGGACACTCACCTACAGTAAAGTGAATATTCTTGTGTGAGGACCACTCTGTGCTGCTTTCAGTCAATAATTTGTGTAAATGGGGCTTGGGTCAGCTGCAGACCTCAAGAGTTGGTGTTGGGGATGTGTAAACATTGAATGCACCCAGGGGACACTGGAACAGCTGTAATGTTCAGTCTTTTCCTATTTTTTTGTAAGGTCTCTATCACTTCTCAGTCATGGAAGATGTTGCTCTTGGTGAACCAATAGGAAGGGTGAAAGCAAATGACCTGGATATTGGAGAAAATGCCAAATCATCCTATGATATTATTGAAGGAGATGGAATGGATGTATTTGAGATCACCACGGATGCCCAAACTCAGGATGGCATTATCAGAGTGAGAAAGGTAAATCTCATCTCTGTTAAAAGCATAAATGTTTATTGTACATGTAATTACCCAGCCAGACTCAGCTCTGTGAGAAGATGCTGCATTTCCAGGAGTTCTTTCATCTGTGGATGAGGTGTCAAGCCAGTGGAGTGATGAAAAGGGGTGCATTTGCCATGTTCCTCTGAATTTCCATTGAGAAAATTCACTGGGGAAACATCCATGGGTGCTGGAAATATTAATCTTATCCAGGATCCCATGTGGTCACATCATGACCACCACCAAGCTTTTGCTTTCTTGGTTCCTAAAGAAAAAAGTAGATTAAATTCCACTTTGGTGGTGGTTTAAACTTCTGTGAAATCTTGGCTGAGTATCCATCAAATAACTTCTCTCAATTATTTCATTTCCTGTGTAGCTGTTCAGAGAAAAATAAATCACGGTGCATTAATTAAATTACCTGATATGTGAGAGCTTAGTCTTCTACCTTTTTCTCATGTTGAACTATCTTCACTCAACAAACAGGGATTTCAGTGACTTTTAATCAAGAGATTGGTAGTTTCACATGAGAAGTGTCAAATTTGGCCCCTAAAGAAAACCATGTTACCTTATCTATGCTTGTTCAGTCATGAAGTGTGCAGGTGAGGTATTTGCATGTACACAACAAAAACATCACCCAATTATGTACAGAAATATGGGGAGAGGCAGCATAGAAGAAAACCAAAATAAACCCAGGGAAACATTAATTGCAGCTTTAATTGTCACTATTTTCTGGGGAAGGAGAAAAAGCTGTTCTTTGTGCTGTGTTCTGAAAAAGGATATTAATATAACTTATAGCAGTGGCAGAGGGTTTTAACTGCATAGCACAGATCACTCTAAATGAATCTTTGTTTGTAAAAAGCAAAAGTAAACAAAACCCCAACCATGATATTCCAGTGAGAAAAGGTGAATCCAATGAGCACAGGTAATTAATATTCCACTTGTACCTGTCATTAAAGAGGTCAGGCAGATTGCCTGTCAAAACTTTGTGTTTTCTCTTTCTCAGTGAGTAGGTCAGCACTGTAGCTTTATAATAAACTGTTGCATATTTATCTAAATTTACAATTGTTTTTCTAAAGAGAAAATTATGATATACATCCCAACTCTTCCTTACTGTTATTTATTGTGTGCTGTGGCCTCTCCTGTAAGCTGAGGCAATTAGCCTTTTGCCCCAGTTCCCTTGGCTTTATTTCATAACTGAATCTCAACCATAATGTTGTTTCATATTTTCATTTTGACAGCAATAATAATTTTGGTTCTACTCCAGTAGATGATGTATGGAGGGTACTGCTCACCAACAGATTTTCTTCAGCATAAAATCATGGGCTTTAGACAATGCTGAGTAAATTTTCAATATGATATTCTGATTAGGCATGACTAAATGTATTGGGGTGCTGTCATTTCTGTAAAGCATATGAAAAGCAATTGAAGAAGTGCTACAGGAGCCATGATTGGCAAATTGTGAATATGCTGATTTATAAATCCCCATTCATAATTTCAAAAGTGTACTAATTTAAGAGCTGCAAAAGAAGCAAGATTTTCTTGTGTTTACTAGAATTTGTGAGCAAGAGCAAATCCCATTAGAGCTTGATTCATACCTGAAAAACATCCACAGAATTTGAAGATATACATATTGAAGGCTTTGACAGACTTCCTGAAGATTCCTGTTTGTGCTCTTGCTGGTATTTGCATTACAGATTCACAGTGTCTATGTCCTCTTCTTTTTATCCCTCAGACATTATAATGCAAATCTTAATATCTTCCCAATGCTTGGCAATTTGCATCTTTGAAATTTGAATGGTTGTGAGACACAAGAGAATTATGAAGTGAATATACTGATGTGCTTCAAGACACAAACTTGAATCTCCCATAATGAAAAAGTCTAACACTCGAAAGTGTCACCGATTTGGGGTTTATTTGGTGTTTCAGTCCCTTAAATCCACTGAGTTTTCACCTTTTATGAGTTAATATAGGACTGTAAAATAGTAAAAACAGTGGTAACATGGCAGGTATATTGATAGAATAAAGTAATTTGTTTTGTGATTCTGTCTGTGGGAAAAGAAAAAAGAAAAATGATACAGAAGTAGAAATTGCTACAGTTTTAAGAAATTCCTAAGAGATGTCTAGCTCATTTACTCCTGTAAACTGAAATAGAGAAGTACTTGTAGTGCAAGAATATTGAAGTACCTTCTCATATGATTAGCTCTACATTTTGCTTCTCCTATCCAACAAATAATAATTTCTAGTTCTTTGCATTTCTCACATTGTTCTGGAAGTAATAAAATATTTATTCTTTGTGGAGCCAGTTGAATTTGTTTTCTTATCTTCAGCCAGTAAAGCACTGATGAAGAGCATTATTGGTATGCAACTCGTGTCATCCCAAACAAATTTGTAGTATTTGTCTGATATGTAATTGTAATGGTATAATTCATGAGAGGGAATATTTCAGTAAATTTCTTGTGAGAAACAGGGAAACAGTGCTGTTTTCTCTGAGGCTGGTAAATAAACAGATTTTATAGAAAACCTGGAGGTTGGGTTTCTGGGAGAGGGAAGTGCCTGCTTTGAAATTATTCCGTGTGCTTAAAAATGCACATAACTCCCATCCATCTGCATTGCCACCACTTGTTCTCTGATAAATTACATTTATTCTTGTCCTTCTCAACAGCCACTGGACTTTGAGACCAAGAAGTCCTACACGCTGAAGGTGGAGGCAGCCAACATCCACATCGACCCTCGCTTCCTCAGCGGGGGCCCCTTCAAGGACACGGCCACCGTCAAGATCGTGGTGGAGGACGCTGACGAGCCCCCGGTCTTCTCCTCACCCACCTACCTTCTGGAAGTACATGAAAATGCTGCTCTCAACTCTGTGCTGGGGCAGGTGACGGCCCATGATCCTGACGTGTCTTCCAGCCCTATAAGGTAGGGCTGCTTTAAAGGGTTTTTTGGGAGTGCTGCTGGCTGATCCCAAGTGTATTCCCCACTCACTGTGTGGCTGTTTCCATGCTGTTCTGTTTCTGTGAAAGTGCCAGGGTAGGGTTTGGTTTATGATGTTAGATTTATCAGTTCAGATCGCTTTCAAAGTCCCCAAAATGCTCCTTGCCATAGGAGTAGTCTTATGAAACAGAGGAATGCAGTGAAAATGAGAAATGTGAGTGGTTCTTATGAGAAATGAGGTTGGATGGGGTTGAATCATCAGAGTGTATCTCTGCAGTGAATTTAAATAATCCAGTAGTGTCTGCACTAACAATACTGAGTTTGTGCCATGCAGTTGTAAGGTTGTCAAAACATATTTTGTATTCCTTTGTCTAAACCCATTCCTGGTTTAAAGATACAAAGTCAGAGATGATTATGCCCATATGACTTCTGCATCTTCAGTCTATAACATTTTCCCTTTCTGATCTAATTTGAACAAAATATTTTATTCCACTTGGCTCAGATCAGTGGGTTTTATCTATTTTGATAAGCGCACATGTTCCCCTCCCCCTTGGTAGTGATTGCATGGTGTGCTGAGTGTTCCAAAGCACATTCTGCTCTGTGTAGTACTGCCTGCTAAAGGCATTAGGAAAACCAGCACCAAAATGTGAAATTCATAGCAAAAGTACATGTGGAGAGAGTCTATTTAATAGTAATCATCACTGTGCATTGCTGCCTCAGGGAATTTAGGGCAGGCAGCATCAGGAGGATGATGTTAGCTGCTATAATCCATCATTTTCTATCACTATCATTTTCTAATCACTGTCACTTCCATCAGGTTTGTTGCAGAGCTGGACTTTCAACCTTTATGTAGAGACCCTACATGATGCATATCATAGTATAGTATCTTGAGTATTAGAAATTCAGATTTGCCAACGTGCTTGGATGATTTAGGACTTGTGTGTGAAGATGTTGGAGAGTATGTTTGAGTTTTACACAACTTCCTCCTGAGGAGCAGCTCTGATCTCTGCTCTGGGCCAGGGACAGCACCCAGGGAATGCTGGAGATCAGGGAAAGGTTCTGCTTCCCCAGGGAATGGCTGGAGCTGGGCAGGCTCAGGCTGAGATCAGGAAAGTTTCTGCTTCCCCAGAGGTGCTGGCACTGCCAGGGAATGGGCACAGCCCTGAGGCTGCTGGAGCTCCAGGAGGGTTTGGGCACCAGGGATGAACAGGGGGGATTGCTGGGGGTCTGCAGGGACAGGAGTCAGACTCAGTTATGGGGATTTTTGAAGGAGTTTTGAATGAGTTAGAGATGGGACCTCAGAGGTTTTTAGATGATGCAGTTTATTTTTCTTACCTTCTACACAGGCAGGAAGGGTGAGTTAGGCTCACATCTTCACCACATGGTTCAGAAGGTCACAAGACCTTTAGTTACAGGACCTTTTAAGGAGTTATTGACCAATAAAACACTGCCAACAACGATATTTATGGTTTTGACCCAATCCTTAAATATTTCATCTTATGGGCTCATGGTACAGTGTGAGCTTTCTTAGCCAATCATGTTATAACACACAAACCTACAGCGTTGCATTCTAAACTCCTTGTTTACCTTTGTAACTACTCTTATTTTTCCTATATCTTAAACTCTAAACTTTTCCCTTTACCTAACGTGTCTGTGCTCTAAACTATGAATCCACATTTATGCTTCTGTCACCTAATTTTGGAAGCCATCTCCAAGTTCCTAGATCAAATCCTGTGTTTAATTCTAAGCTTTGGCTTACAGGCCCCAAGTTCTGAGAATTCCCTGCATTTTGATTCCAACACTCAGTAATCCTTGTGGTCCCTTCCCACTCAGGATATCCTCTGATTCTGTAATTCTCATTCTTAAATCAGACTTTCAAGAGCAGATAACCACAGCATCAGCTGCCACAGATTCCTAAACAAAAATACCATAGAATGGCAGGGTTTGATCTGTCACAACTGAAGCAGTGGTTCCATCACTGATTTTCTTACTTCTGCCCACTGATGTCTGTGAAAAAGACAAAAAAGATCCTCTGAGAGGAGTGTGAGACCAGCCTTGGTGACAGCAAATCTCTTCCTTGTGTTCCAGCTCCACAGCAATCTCTCTTTCAATGGAATCTCAGCTTCTACCCTGCTCTGTTTGCTCTTGCCTTGGTCCTGGCTCCTCTTCCTCTGCCTCCACCCCTGCTTCACTCTTACCTTGGCTGCTTTTCCACTCCTCTTCTGCTGCCCTGGAATTTTTGTTCTCACCTGCCTCAACCCCTTAATAATTCAGACCTTTTACAAACCTACCTCTGTTCTAAAACTTGGCCTTTTTATTCTATGCAAGCCCAAAAAAATAGATCTGAATAAAAGATTTATCTAGTTTCCCCTTTTTCATCATTTTATAAATCAAGAGACCTTCAAACTTCTAAAACCAAAAACTTTGTATTTGTAAACTGAATGAGAATGTTATTGCTCATCACGTCATATAAAAACACAACATACATGAAACAGAACTGGCCAAAATTCATTACATTAAAAAAAAGGTAATTTATTGGTATGATTTATAAATTTTCTTTAAATAATAGATACAGTACTTTATAAGATTTAATATTTTCTAAAATATTGGCTTAATACTAATTAAGGAATATACAGAGCCCAGTTTTCTGTGCAACTTTTTTGTTCTTGCTTTCTTACCTGATTAATTCAGATTTATCTGGGAGAGCTCTAGAAAGCTCAAATTCTTCTGTGTTGTTTTTTTATTTTTTTGCATGTTTTTTGCATAAAAATATTTTAAGGACAGAAAAAAGTTAGTTATTCCACTATTAAAAGAGGGAAAATTCTAGTTGGAGACAACTAGGGAGCAGAAATACAATTCCTTTCCTTCCACTTTGGAACAAAATAGGAACCTGGCAGGTTCTAATAAAAACATACTGCAGCACTGGTTTTATTGATTGGAATGTGCATTTCAGGTGTTAATTCTGTTATCGTATCACGTATATATGATGCAGATTTTATGCATATTTTCTGTGATACCAAAATATCAAATTTTAGTTTAAAATTTGAAAAATTACAGCAAGCTGTTCTAAAACTGATGGACTGTTTTTATGTTAGTGTTGCCTGGCCTTTTTAAATTCCGTTTCCCTCTCCCCTTTCAAAACAGAATTTTATTTCAAAACTACTTGTATTTCAAGGAAATTACATTTTTTTCAATAGATATCTGTTCTATCAATATTTAGCTTAGACAGAGCTACTGTGTACATTTGTTATAAAAACCCAGGCAGCACAAACAAAATATGAATCCCCTTCTGTGCTCCCAATACCACGTCTGCTTTGCATTAGTCTGATACACAAAGGCTCCACACATTCAGAGCATTGCAGTGCCACAAATGAAATCAAACTTGGATATCTCTGAAGGTGGGAAGAGTCTGGTAATTGAGTCAAAGGATAAAATGTTAAAGAATTTAGAAAAGTTATTATCAAATACAGCCTGGAAAGAAGCTTGTGCTCTAAGGGGAAGGTGTCCCTGCCCAAGGCAGAGGTTGGAATGAGAGGATCCTTTCCAAGCCAGACTATTCTATTGATTTCTTATTTCTCTTTCTTTTTAATTGTTCATCTTCATTTCTAACCAATTCACCAGTAGTTTGCTTTTAATGCTTGCTTCGAAAATATAAAGCATTGTCTGAACTTTTTCTCACTTGATCTAAAGGCACAAAGCTTCTCACAGGTTTACAAGCAGGTAAATAAATGGATTTTTGGGGCTGTCCTGTGTGGTGGTGTTCACAGGGGTCCCAGGACAAGGGAAGAGAGATGAGAATATTGACTCCATGTTTCACAAGGCTGATTTATTTTTTTATGATATATATTATATTAAAAGAAAATTATTATATTAAAAGAAAATTATATATTAAAAATATACTACAAGAAGAAAAGAAAGGATTTCATCAGAAGGCTAGCAAGGAATAGAAAGGAATGAATAACAAAAGCTTGTGACTCTCAAAGAGTCCAAGCCAGCTGACTGTGATTGGTCATTAATTAGAAACAACCAACACGGACCAATCAAAGATGCACCTGTTGCATTCCACAGCAGCAGATAATTATTGCTTTTCTTTTCCTCTGAGGCTTCTCAGCTTCTCAGGAGAAAAAGCAAAAGGATTTTTCATAAAGTATGTCCATGACAGTCCTGTGTAGATCCAGGAGCTGGAATCTGATGATCCTTGGAGTTAGGATATTCTGTGATTCTGTGATATTTTTTCTAATCCATCAGCTGTAAAATAAGTAACACAAGCTCCTTTTGATCCTTAGTTGCCATTGTGCAGGGCATGCTACTCAAGGGCCTCCTATTTTTAAGGCTGATGGTGAAAAGGCTTTACAGAGTTGGGTAATAATTACCAATAATTGTAACTTGTTGTGTTCCAGCCCAGTAATTCCAGGATTTTGTGTCAGGGCCACATCTGGATGCATGCTTCTCCTTTGGGGAAGGGGTCCAGTGAGTCCAGATGAGCTGTGAGGCTCTGGTGTGGGCAGGGTGGCTCATCCTAGGGACAGCTCCAGCCTGGGAATGTCGTCCCTTGCTGGCTCCCAGCTGTGGGTGGGCTCCAGGGCTGGCACACAGCTCTGGGCTCAAGGGCTGGCACACAGCTCTGAATTCCAGGGCTGGCACACAGCTGTGTGATCTCCAGAGCTGGCACCCAGCTGTGGCTCCAGGGCTGGCACACAGCTGTGGGTGGGCTCAAGGGCTGGCACACAGCTGTGGGTGGGCTTCAGGGCTGGCATAAAGCTGTGGCTCCAGGGCTGGCACACAGCTCTAGGCTCAAGGGCTGACACACAGCTGTGTGATCTCCAGGGCTGGCACCCAGCTGCAGCTCCAGGGCTGGTACACAGCTGTGGGTGGGCTTCAGGGCTGGCACACAGCTGTGATCTCCAGTCCTGGCACCCAGCTGTGGCTCCAGCAGTGCCCACTCCATGCCCCTGCTGTTACTTTATAAGGATGCTCTGTTCATGTGCAGTGAGTTATCTTGGATAAAGCATGATCCAGGCACATAGCAAGAAGCATGAGCAATAATGGTCCTTCCTATCCAGCTAGTGCCCTCCTATAAATCACTGCCCTTCAGTGCTTTCTCTGTGCAGAGATAAGATTCACTGGAGTTGGTTTTCCCCATTCCTTTCAGCAGAGATTTCATCTTTGGCAGCAGTTGATAATTTTCTTAATTCACAGCAGGCCTTAAAAAAACCAGACTCAATATTTTGTGGCTCCCCAATGGTGTAGTTGTTTATCTGTCACTAAGTACCCTGTCCAATCTGCCTGGCATTCATAGAAATGGAGATTTACCACTCCTGGGGTGTCAGTGCTGGGGTTCAAATCTCAGAAGAAGCAGAAAAAGAGAGTTTCTGCTCCTATTTACATTAGTGCAAATAATGAGTAGATCAAATAAAGTCATAACAGCAACAGTGCAAGAGCAGGACTGAGAATCCTTTCCAGGCTTCTGTTAAACCACTGTGGGGTTGTTCCTATAATTGCCATAGCAGACTCATAAACTAACCCAAACTTCCCAATAACCTCTGCTGGCTTTATAGCAATTTCAAAAGATATTATTTCCCAAGATATTATTTTCTCATTTTTAGAGAAATATATGTTTTATGTATGTTTTATGGATCTGACAATGCAGTCCCATTAAAAAGAGTTACAACATCATTATCATGAAAAGAAAAATGCAAATGTATTGTTAGTTTTCCCAGGTTTATGACACTGCAGATTTTATTATTTTGGTTTTGTAACAAATATTTATCACATTGAAATCAGGAGAGGTTGTTGTCTTGCAAAGACACTCAACTTATGTTAAAAATGTTTTCTCTTGAATTGCTAGGTTTGTGTTGTGAGTAAATACTGCTGGGATGAGATGAAATGTGATATAATGAACTCAAAAATGTTTCACTCCCTCTTTTATAACTTCAAAACCTGCATGGTAGGAAGGCCGTGAGTGGAAGTTTAAGGAAGGATTGATCCTTAGAGAAAAACTGTTTTTCCTCAGTGGAATTTATGTCAAGCCCAGGTCAGCTAAACACTGAATACCATATGAGCATTTCACATTTTATTTTGTTTGTGGACTGGGAAAATTCTTATATGTTTGGTAACAGTAGTGTCCTTTCAGCATCATTACATAAAACTCAAAAATGAAAAGACAGTTTTAAGTGATGGCTTCTTACAAAGAGCTGATTGCTGTCTTTTCTTGCATTTTCTTGAGTGAAATCTTAAACCTGTAAAAGACTGTAAGGTATTTTTTACTAACTTCACTAGTACCAGAATTTTACTTTTAATGCTTTAATTGGAACTAGGTAGACATCAAAATACAGTTAAGACCCATTTTCAAAAATGATTGCCTGAAGTTAAATACCTGCAGCTTTATTCTTCCACACAAATGACCTGCTTTTCAGAAATGCTGAGTTTAGTGCAGTTCCCATTGAACCATTGAGAACTGAGTATGTGGAGCTCACAATAAAATCAGTTTACTTCAATGTCCAAATACACATGCATATGTCCAGCTTGAGGCACAGATATTTGGAATTTGAGTTCATATTTTTGAGTTCATATTTTTCTGATACTCTTCTTACCTAACTAGCAATTTCTCAATGAGTAGAACTAGTTCTTCTGAGAGTTTAAAAAAATATATCTGACAAATCCCCATAAGCTGGGGTTTTCCTTCTTAAATCCATTACTTGTGAAGTACCTTTACCAGTGTGATCAGGTTAGCCTTGGACTCTGGCAATGCAGTATTTAAACACTTAAACTTTGAGATTTTGATAAATTTTCATCATTTAGAGCTCTTTTTGAAAGTGAGCTGTATCTTCCAGAATGCATTGCACAAATAATCTAATTGCAATGCAACTTTCATTCTAAATATGAAAATATCTGATACTGAAATAAATAAAAAAAGGATGAACACAATAATCCTGAGCTTTGAAATCAGATGCTAATGCTGTGTCTATTAAAATCGATTGTGTTAGGCTGGAATGAGTTTGAGTTCATTGGAATATATTTATTGTAGTGTATAAAGGGACCTCCAAATCAGAATATTTTTTTGGAAATTGCTTCTGCTAAAGCACGAACCAGAATGGAATAGCTGATTTTCAGATAACTATGCCATTCTCACTGTAGTAAAATACATTCTTTTACTTATATTGGGGAATTTTAACAATGTGCTTGCAAAAGGTAGAAAAGTGATGAGAAAGTGACAGTCTGGAGTCACTTTTCTGGCCACTCCATAAAGTAATTGAGTGTGATACCTTATCCTAACTCTCCTAACTATTGTGAGTAATGTAATGTACTGTCTGTAATGCAGAACAGATGTAAAAACTGCCAGTGCATGCTGGTAGCTTCTGTAATACACAGCCACAAAGGCTTAAAAGGCTTTTGTATAAATCCACAATCAGGATTCAGTAAAACCCCTTGAAGTCAATTGCTGTTAAAAGATATCAATAGTTTATCACCCAACTCTCTCTTTCCCTACCTTTCCTGTCAGGAAACTGAAGGCTCAATTTTGTCATTTAGTTTCTTTTCACGAGGAATTCATTAATAAAATAACTCTGTGCAAATGGACAAACATAAAAGCTTTCTGGAGATCTGGACCTGAGTTTTAAGTCATCATCCTGCTTAATGCACCGTTGGAGCAATCCACTGCAGCTCTGGCTCCCTGCTTGGGCTGCAGAATTCACCTGGACATTCACATTTGCAAACTCTGACTGCCTGTCAGATGGAACTTGTTTGGTTAAACATCAGTGATGTCAACCCAGAGAAGAATCAAGCCTCCAGCATTTGCAGTGTTTTATAGAGAAAAATGGTGATTCACTGTGCTCTGCCCATGCAGCTGCTTGAACCATAAGCAAATAATGTGCTTGGTGAATCGTTCATGCTTCGTTAATCTGAAATTTATTGGTAAAATAATATTATTCAGCCCTTTTCTAAAATAACCACAAAGCCCACCACTTTTGTGGCTTAATGCATTACTGTTGAAATTATCATCAGTTACTGTGAAATACCATAGAAGCTGTCCAATAAATGTGATGGATTGTGTAATTAACTCTTGATCAGCACCGTTTTTCAGAGATGCTACCCAGTGAACCTGAGGGCACTTTACGACCTTCACACTGGGTATACAGCTAATTACTCCTTGGGCAATAATTATTAAGTTTTTTTAGCATCAGTTTGTCATTTTTGTCTTCTAAATTATTATGCTATTGAGCTTCTCAATCCATTTGGCTATAAAACTGCAGCTCTCAGAGGGCTCCCTAAATTGTCTGTGTGACTGTATGGATTACAGCAACTTCATTAAGTAGATTACAGGGATGTCTGTTTTGTAGGTTTTCCATTGATCGCCACACTGACCTTGAGAGACAGTTCAACATCAACGCAGAGGATGGGAAAATAACTCTGGCAACACCCCTGGACAGAGAAACCAGCACATGGCACAACATCACTATTGTAGCCACTGAAACCAGTAAGTGTTTGTGTACTCTGACTGTTCTGTTGGGTTTATAATTTATTTTAACAGGGCAAACTTTACATAATTCAGTAAAATTAAATGTATTGGGTGCTCGAATTAGAGAATTTTGAAAGAACGCTTAATTTTTGTGTAAGCTCCATTTCTTTTAGTTTTCACAACAGCATTTTTTTTTCATTGAAAATGGCAATAGATATTCTGAAGTGATAGATGAGTACATATGTACAAGGTATGCAAGGTAAATGTTAAAAAATGGTTTAAAAAGCCCAGACCAAAGCCTTATAATTAGCTCTATTAAGACAGAAAAAATTAAAGCTTTGCCATTGTAGAAGTAAATTGAAGGCTCAACCCAGACGTTCTTAATTCTGAGTGCTATTATGTTTCAGAGCCATAAATGATTAAGCACAGGGGTAATGTTGCATGAAAGGAGTGCTGTTGGATACATATGGATGAGTTTACTCACACCCAGCTCTCAACAAGAACTTGCATTGTTCAGGTCCACAGAGCCCTGGTGGCTGCTCTGCACACCTGAGTCAGGAGAGCTGCCCTGCCTGGCAATATGGGTCAGGGATTTTAATCAAGGAGAATTCTTAATTAATTTGGAGCTGCTGACAGGATCACACACGACAGTGTGATTTATTGTTCATATTAGCACTGTATTCTAGACAATGCATGTGACACAAGAGTATTGAGGCAAAGTGAAGCTGGGGCTGGCACCCTGTGCTGTGTCCTGAACTGGAACACAGACCCTGGAACCCTCTCTGTTCTGCACTCAGGGTGCAGCAGAACCCAGTGTGCACACAATGGAGCCAGCACTGTGGGAATATCTGTCTGCAGAGCCTGGTGACCAGGCTGCGCAGAGAGAACTGCCTTATGTCCTGTTTGCTTTTCCCCAGATCTCTGCTGTGAAGGATACAGCATAATGGTACAGAACATTTGAAGCTCAGTTTCATGGTACTATAGCCATGGACATAATAAATTGGGGGACAAAATATGCTTATTTGGCCCATTTTTGTTGTCTAGTACCCTTCCTGAGGCACTTGTCAGCAATGAAGAGAGATGGGGAAGATTGATTTGGTGATCAGAACCCGAATTTATTGTGGACTACCAATGCTTATATACTGTTTTAGGGAGACTAGCAATGTTTACTACAATGATTAGGTTAAAATCACATACACAAAATTGTGCATATTACATCTATTGCTTGCAGAATTTAATGAATTTTTTCTTTATCTGGTAAACCAATCTGATTGAATCTTCTTTTAATCCTCAAAGTTCTCTTTGCTCTTGCCAAGGCATCCTGCTATCAAATCTCTTATGCCTACCAAGTCCAAAGTCCATTATCTGTCTTGTATCCCAATATCACATTATTGTGATTTCAAAACTAAACTTATTAGGAAACCATGACACATGGGAAAGGTGGGTGTGGGTGTGAACTGAGCTCCCAACTTCCAATCCTTGTACCCTGTGTTGCTCTGACCCACCTCAGGAATTTGGGGATTTCATTGCCAGCAGTGCCCTGTCACTTGTGCCATCAAACAATACTTTGTTTAATCAAAATATTTAATTTAATCAAAGTATTCAAACAATACTTTGATTAAATTAGCAGAAATACTTTCTGCTTGCAGGGAAGCCATGCCACAGGGAAGAACATGAGAAGAGAAAGGAAGGTGTGGTTTCATCAGGCATACTTTTTCTACTTAATATCTAACCAGTTAATAATTTTAATATTTTTAAAGTAAAAATATATAAAATGTTCATACTAATTTTCTCAGATCATGAGATTTACCAACAGCATGGAAAGCAGAATTATTAGTTTGTGATCCAACACTCTCAGACGTTGGAATAATAAGATGTAAAGTGAAGTTATTTTACAATTTGTTTCCTCCAAAAAGTTAAAAAGGAGCAAGATAAAAGGAATAACTTTGCAAGACACTCCTCCAGTTCATTTTTATATCTCCTTTACATGTGTGTGTCAGAGCAAAGCTGCCAGAAGTGCACTTTACTAAGCCACACAAGCAGGAAGTCTGCTTGTTGCATTTTCAGTTTTTTGAAACATAATTATACTCGAGAATTTTGTAAGAAATCAGCCTTGTCATTAGACTTCATGGGAGCCTCAGCATCTACTGCTATTGTAAAATTGCCTCTTATCAGACTGGCTATGAAAATAATAATGCCAATCTTGTTCTAAGCATTTGTGTTCCTGCTGATGGCTTATTTTTGCATTCCTAATATAATTATTTGACATTTACATAAAACAAGGGCTTAATTTCATAGACTACTGTCCTTGCTTACTTAAGTGAAATTATTTTTAAGCTCCTCAAGCAGAAATTAAATTTGCTTATAGAACTGTCAAACAGGGGAAAATGGGCATTTTTAGATTTTTTTTTCCAAGACAATAATAGACAAAATCTCTGTTGTAAAATAGCAGAAATCTGTTGGAGACAGACATAAGCAGCAAATGCAAATACAAAGTATGTCAGTACAATGCCTCCACTGACAGCCCTATTAATGGACTGCTGATCTCTCACAGGAAAATGAATATGTGGGAATTGTTCGTGCAGGAACATTTCCTCTTCCTGGGCTGGCTGCTTCCCAGGGCTTGTGCAAGGCTCTCCTCTCCATCTGCAGTGCAATGACCAGGCCATTTAATTGCCATTAAATTTGCTTACTACTCATAAGCCATCATGCTGGATTTTTATTTCTTCATTCCCAGCATGGCAGATCCTATATTATATGACTATGTCCTAATTTAGCCACACTTTCACAGATAAACACCAAATTTTGACAAACAATAATTCACTATTTCAGCTTTGTGATGGTAGGGTACCTGCATCTAAATTTGTGCTCTAAGCTGATTTAATTTTTGGCAGTTTCCTGCTTATCATCACGACAAAGTTATTTATTTGTATCATCACTTAGCCACTGTCTCAGGTAGGAGTTTTCCAAGGCAGGGTTGGTGTGGTTGAATGGAGCTCCTGCATTTTCACTGGAAATGGGGGTGAAGATCCTCAGGATCAGACTGGCTGATCTTTTTAAAACTGATCAGATTTAAAATGTGTGTGGATAATTTTAAACATTTTAAATCTTAATGCTCCAAAATATGAATTTAACTCTTTCATGTCTAGAAAAACAAGGAGGATGAAAGTGTGAGCCAGTGGGAAATGTGATTCCTCTATGTGTACCTGACAGGTGAAAACCAGTTGGAGGTTGTTTTGTGGGGTTTTCCATTTGGTTGGGTTTTGATTTAGAAGAAAGACATTTTCTGTTCTCATTCATAGGCAAGTGTCTGGCCAGTACTTGTTCAGACAAAATTCATGCTATTGGTGACAAATAGCATTACCATTGCATTGTGAGACTTGTGCAAAGTGAGACATTTTGGGTGGTGCTGTTCACTCCTTTACTTTCTCACTGCTGACAGATTCTTTAGAAGGAGCTTCTAGTTTTCTGCAGCCTTTGTTTTCAGGGAGTTAAAGTGGCCAGACAGACTGAAGAGCATCTGCCTTGAGTGGCTGTCCCTCAGACCTTTGCCCAGAATTTTGCATTGCCTTTACGTTTTGGTTCCCAAAATGCGTGGCCAGTGCCCAGGGTTTGCCTCCTGCTAAAATCCCAGTAACCACAGTGCCTTCCTCTTGTGTTGAGAGACACACCTGGTGCACGTATCTTGGTCTGCAAGCTGCAGCTTTATCTCTGGGAGCTCAGAGGGACAGGAGGATGCCACCTGTGACCCTTTGCATGCCAAGGGATCTGATGGCCTGGGGCACAGCTGGGTGAGGGACGCCCAGAGTCAGGGCAGGAGCCCAGGGCTCAGGAAGAAGAGCCAAAACCTCCCTGTGAAGGGATAAAAGGGCTGTGAAGGGATAAAAGCCCAGGGATAGAAGTCTTTGTGGGGGCCCTCCTCAGAGGCACAGACTCAGGCTGTGGCTGTGTTACTGTGAATAAATGGCTTTATGGAAAGAGAGATCTGAGACTCTGCTGGGGGAAACCTGGGCTGGAACCAGTGAGGAAACCTGCTCTGGCTGTGAGTGGGGTGTGGAGAGTCAGGAGGGTCCCAACAGTGACAGTTTAGGGTGGTGGGGATATCCTTGACAGAGAGTCCCATGAATGGTCACACTGGGAGGTTCCCCTTAATAGTTGCATGCCCACAAGAGTGAATTCTTTAATCTTTTTGTGGTTACTAGAGATTAACCCTTCAAAGAGCCATCTGTGGAAAAGAATGAACTGAATGAGATTATCACAGTACAGGTGCTGTTTAGGTGATACAGATGATATTCAGGTGCTGGTTTCAATATTTCAGATTTAGTTACACATTTTCTTTTAAACTTTTTCTGCGGCTTTGGTCCTCTCAACTGCTACCCTTAAATTTGTCTACTCCTAAATATCTTTTGCACATTTTTCCTATTGTGTGATTTCTTACATCTCTTTCTTATGGGATCAAATTAATTTTTGCTCCTTTGTTGCTTAACTTTTCTCCTTGCTCATCTCCTCTGTGCTGAATTCTGCCATATGGATTTTCAAGAGAAGATAATATTAGAAAGAGCCTTGACATCTTTGAAAGATGCCTCTGAAGTGCAGGCTTAGGGTGTGCAGAAGAAATACACTCATGGCAAGGGCAAGACTCAAAGCTATTGAACCTGTGAATTGATTCTTAACTTTCCTTTCTACGTTGCCATTCACCAAGTTTACCCTGTGAATGGAAAGGAGCAGGAATATCAAGGTGATGACAGGCTGGAGGAAGCATGTCCACTGTAAAATGATTTCCTGAGAATGAATCTTTGTGCTCTGTGGATATAAAGGGTGAACATTGTCACTGGCTCTGGACTTTAAACACTGACCTAATAAGATTTCTCATTAGTTTGTGGTGTAGCTGAGACTTACATGGACTTAAAGTCATAGCTGAGGTTGGGAGGTTTATTTTAAATTTAAATGCTTGAGAGAGGGGTGAATGTAGACTTGCTCTATAAGTCAGGGTTGATAGTGCTGCTGATGTGTTTGAG